CCCCTAATTTCCAATTTGGGCAACTTTTTCCTTTTTTTTTTTTACTTGATATGAAAATTAGGGGGATTAGGGGGTATTTTTAGGGGATATAGCAAGGTCCTTCTAAGAAAATGACTCGTTTAGTGTACATTACAAATGTCCCTATCTCATTAATTTATATTGATATATTATGGAGGCTCCATTTCATGATTTTTTGTGTGTGGTTATTTTCTACTAGTATTTGTCCTTTTTTTTTTTATTTTCATAATTGTTCTTCTGTTACTCAAGTGCACTGAAGTCATGTGCCTCCCTATGTATGACTAAAAAATATTCGAAAAAACATGTGACCACTAGTGTGAGTGCATTGACTCATACATTAAGGTCATGTTTGTTTGGGTGGACATGAGCTTGGAATTGGACTAATAGTCCAATAAAATTATTAATCCGATGTTTGGTTAAACAATTGAAGTACGGATTAATTATTTTAAACTTGACTTTTAGTTAAGATAGGATACATAATCCAACGGATTCGTAATCCCAGGATTATTAGTCATGGGAATGCTAATCCAGTCCGCCCAAACAAACATGGCCTAAGGTTATATTTGAATAACACATTTAAATAAGAATTCGTAGAAGAGAAAGAAAGAAGGAAGGAAAAAGTGAAAAAAATAAAAAATAAAAAATTTATTTCTATTTCATACAATATTCTCATTGTTTTTCATTTTATTTTTAAATTCTTTATCCAAACACAATATAAGATTACTGAACAAAGAATTCATTTTTATCAACTCACTATACACACTCAAAAAGATTAGCCATTTCTTTTCTTTTTTTTTACTTTTTTCTTATTAGTTGAATGCTTGAGGAGGTGGAGGACCTTATCTCGTCAGTTAATAAAATTTTCCATTTTTTTAGCCAACAGCAAAATAAGAAAATTTAGGTATTTGGTACAATAGTATTTTGCTTATAATTTATTGAATAAATTATCAATACACTTTCTAAAATTTGTTTAAAATACAGATTGCCTCATGTGGCTCTGTAAATTATATCTCGCCCCCTTCAAGTTTTTAGTTATATAAAATTTTACTTTTTTTTATTAATTCTATTAAATAAAAAAATTCTAATAGAGTATTTGTAATTTTTAAAATTACAGGCGACAATTCATGTTTTAAACAAAATTTAAGGAGTATATTTGTAATTTATTCTAATTTATAAGAGAACAACAGTTTCATAAGTGAAATTCTCATTTTTGATTTTCAACTTTCAGAAAACCAAACGGGGTTAAAAAAAATCTATGTATCACTTTGCTTGGTTCCATTTTTTCAAAAACACTTTTCAGAAAATGTTATTTTATTGTTTTCCGTGTTTTTTTTTTTTTGTTTTTACTAAATTTTTTTAATATTTTAAGCAAATTTTTTTTTTTAAACTTTTTAGGCATACCTAACATAAATATATTTAAAAAGTAAAAAATTTGTGAAAAAGACTTTAAAAATTCACTAAATACCAAAAACATAAAAAAAAAATTCGAGAATTCAATACATTTTTTTGTATTTTTATGTATTTATTAATTATTTAAAATATTTTTTCATAATTTTTTTATTTTTTAGATATATCTAAGTGAGGTGCATTTAAAAAAATATTTACAAATTTAAAAATATTCACTAAAAAGAAAATATGAAAATCAAAAAAATTCAATTTAAAAAAAATTTAATTCAAAAAATTCAAACCAAATATCTTGAATAAAAATCTATTGATATAATTAAGTATGAAATGTACTCATCCATAAGGACAACATCGTCGTCGTCCTTCATAATTAAGGCAATCAATGTCATGAAATGTACTCATCCACATGTTAAACACGGTCCTCCATTATGTGCCTTTGCTAAAAATCATCTTGGCGTTTAGCCTATAGATTTTTATCATGGCACTTTCAGCTTAATGGCTAATCAATACACCTCCCAAAAAATGACTAATTAATATAATTATATCAAAAGTATTGTTGATCGCTCCTCCAAGATCCACAAGAACGGGGCTATTCTTGAATTTTTTGGAGTTTTTAGGCCATGTTTGGCATAAAAAGTTGGGATTAAAATAGTTACAAAAAAATAAAATAGGCTAAAAAGTCAATAAAATAAAATGTCACATCTAAATCATAATTATTTTATATTTTCTCTCACAAAAGTCAAAAAACTTAAAAAATTCATCTTAAATGAGGCTTTTTAACCTCAGACTAAAATAATCAAAAAATTAAAAAGTCAAAAGGTTAACCCACATCCTAAACGAAGACTAAAGCAAACTTCGAAATTGGAGCCTTTTATTCACCCACTAACGTGGAAGAAATAGTAAAGGGTTGTTTGGAGTGTCCTAAATAAGTATATTTTTTGACTTTTTAGATTAAAAAGTTGAGGAAAAAAATATGATTGTTTGTGATAACTTTTTGACTTTTATGAAAAATGTGTATTAAAAAATTATATAAATTATTATATAAGAAAAGATTAAGATGGAAGAGGCAGTACGGTGGGATAATTCAAGACAATGTGGGCAGAGTGTAGCCTGGGATATGATTCCCTGCTTTTCGGATATTGAATTGGAAGTGTTGTTCAGCTCGTGAGGGCCCACCATGGGTCCCGTTTTGCTAATCAAAACCGATCAATGTGTAGAAATCGTCGAGTACTATATGCTTATAAAAAATCACGCTGATCAGATATCGATAGCTATCTGATCGAATTAGTTTTTTTTAACTGTTAATTATAACACCATCCATTTTATAAATTTTAACTGATTTGATCATATATTTACCGATATCCGATCAACGTGATTTTTTACAAGCATATAGTATTCGATGAGTTCTACACGTTAACGATTCAGATTATTAAAACGGGACCCGTGATAGGCCCCTATGAGCCGAATAACACCGTGTTATTTGTGCACCTAAATAAGTGTAATTTTTCCAAAAAGGCAGCTCCGCCTTTGGGATGACAGAGTTGTTTGAAATGTAATTATGTGTTAAATTAATTTTTTAATTTTTTTTGGTGAATGGTGATAACTTTTTAACTTTTTGAGTAACTTTTTATCTTTTCAATTCCGTTACAGGGCTCGAATGGCTCGAAATGGTTTCCCACCGAAATTTTGATGCACGTGGAGCTCACGTGTTCTGCACAAAGTGATGAAGAAAAATGAAACAAAAAACAGAAACAAGAGAGGAGAGAAAGGAGAGAGAGGGAGGTTGCGACCACGACGACGACGGCGAGAGAGACGACCACGACGACGACCGAGCTGGTGTTCACTGACGGGCGTCGCTAACCACTGTCCACCGCTGTTCGGAATTTCCATTTTGTATCTGTGCATGTAGGTAAGTAATTTGAGATGCATTTGTCTCTTACTCATAAACAAAACGAACAGATGAACTGTAGGAACGAGATTGAACATCTCATTATTGATTGAACATTGATCTGTGGTGAACATTTCGTTTATGAGATGCATTTTTATTTTGCTAACATTGATCTGTGGTCAACATTTTTTGATCTGTGGTGAACATTTCCCTCATCTCGTTATTGATCTGTGTATGTGAAAAAAAAAAATTTTGGTTGTTCTGGAAGCAAGCCCTCTGTTAAACATTTCCATAGTAGTGATGCATGCCAATTGTTTGATGAAAGTTCGTATAGAGAAATATTTTTATAGGCTTTAGTCTCCTGGTAGCTATTACGTTTCTTTCTTCTCCCTTTTTTTGTTTTTGTTTTTGTTTTTCTTGTTTCTTTGTTTTGTTGGTTAGGAGGGGTATTAGGGGCATTGCACTGCCTCAACTAATCCCCGTGTAGTTTTTCTATCTAATTTTTTTAGTTTGAATAACACTACTTTTGTATACTTTCTCAAGCGTTTATCACGGTTCAATTTGGTTTAGTAGTGGAGATTGTTAAGAAATTTGCACCAATAGGTCAGTGGCTTTTGAGCCCTGGGGTTATGCAGTTCCCTTTCCACAATGATTTGATTACAAGGTATCATACCTCTCGATAAAAAAAAACAGGTATCATACCTCGCAATCCCTTAACAAATCACAATACACATATTATGATTGGTTTAAAACAATAAGGTCTACAACTTTGGTGAGGTTAAATTCACTGTATTAATAATCATAATATATGTATTGTTCATACACTCTTAAAGTGTGTGAACAAATTTATTTTCCCTTTGTGTATATCAAATCCGTGACTTGCACTACGATATACATCAATTGTTACATAATAAAATAAACTCTGATTTTGATTGTGACTCAAAATGATATTTTTTTAAATGTATATATATATATATACAGTTCTTGTTAAGACATCTACAGTTCTTGTTGCACATCTTTCTTAAATTTAAAGTTGAATAAAAATCACTCAAAGTAACCATACATTTATTGACCCAAGTTTACACCAAAATTAAGTTCTACTTAAATTTTTACTCAAATAAAGGGGAACTCAAATATCTAGTTAAATTTCAAGGCTATGTTTTGCCCCTCAATTTTAATATTGTGCCATTAGTGAATCTTTACTTGAATTTATGTTTAGGTTTAAGTTTATCTATCACAAGATGTTGGACGAAATCATAGAAATTGCTGCCAACGATGATGGTAAACACGAAGTGCTTGATCTTGGGTTGATAGAAATCAAGGATAGAGTGAGAAAAGATCAATCGGGTAGTGCGAGTCATGCACCACCTTCTACTAGTGAAGTACCACCTTCTACTAGTAATGTACCACCTTCTCATAGTTCGTTGAGAAGTCCGTCTGGTCGTAGTACTACAAAAGCAAGCATGTCTCGCAACATGCTTAGTCCAATGGTTGCTCGCCGAAGAGGACGTCCATGTACCAAACGGAAGGTTAGCAAAGTGGATGCAATAGTGAATCGGTTGAAGGGAAAGAGTAAAAAGCCTCCAAAAGCACAGGTAAGTTTTTTTGTTATGTGTGGCATGGAAATTGTTGAATGTATTTAAGATAAATTACTCACCTATGTGTCTGTGTCTTACTATAGAGACACACGGTTCGTCAATGTCAGCCTCGAAAGTTAAATTTTCCTGGTACCGATGATATGCAATACAATACTTATCATGACCCGGTATGTATTTGAATTTTTATGTTGTTGGTTATTTTTTATTTTAATGTCTTTTATGTATAATGAAATTGTGTTACTATGATCATAAGGCGACACAAACTGCACCTTACTATTTTCCTTGCATGGATGACACACAACAGAGTATGTATGTACTGGTATGTGGTCAATATTTAAACTAAAATATTTGTTCTTGTTTTAATTGATATATATATTGAATGGACCATATTTGTAAAGTGTACTTCTTTATTGAATAGGCACAGTTTACTCAAATACAAACGGTGGACAATATTGGAGGCACATCTCATACTCAATTAGGATGGTGAACAACATCAATAGTCAAAGTTTGACAATCGCTTTAATGGTAATATTTTCTGTTGAATGATGGCAAATGTCCCATTAATATTTTATCACTGTTTTTAATTGGAAGCTATATGCATTGACTTGGCCAAATTCTATGAGATGTTTTGATTGGTGAAGGTTGGGATCTAATGGAGATGTTAAAGTATTTAAATAAAGATGTCATTTTGTTCAGGAAGAGGAGCTGCTGTCTTTGCTGTGATGAAGAAGATGCAAAATGCTAAATCTGATTGCTGGTGCATTACCTGAAGATGGGTGAATCTGATTGTTGGTGCTGATGCTGAATCTGATTGCTGATGCAGATGCAGATGCAGATTGCTGGTGCTAAAACCTATTGTAAATGCTCAATGAGAACTACAAAAATCTTGTTGTAAAAAAAATGCTCAATGAGAACTAAAAAAATCCTGTTGTAAATCATCTATTTCGAGATTAAACCTTTCACTTTAATGGTAATATTTTATGTTCAATGATGGCAAATGGATGTTGAATGGGCAATATTTTGAATGCTAAATTTGTATGTCTATGAATCTGCTTGAATGCTCCAGGTTATGGTTCAGATTATGTCTATGAATGTCACTGAATGAGCCAGATTTTGCTGAATCTGTATGGCTGTCAATCTGCCCGAATGCTCAATCTGTTATGCTCCAGATTTTGAACAGATTCATTCAAATAGATCCATTCTGTGAATCTGCCTCAATGCTCAATTTGTTATGCTCCAGATTTTTAACAGATCCATTCAAATAGATCCATTCTGTGCATCTGCCTGAATGCTCAATCTGTTGTGCTCAATCTGTTATGCTCCAGATCCATTCAAACAGATTCATAATAAAATGCTTCAGGTTATGGTTGTTCAATCTGTTAAAGATTTATTAATAAAATGCTCCAAGTTATGGTCGTTTAAACACTACATTTGTTGTTCAATCCATAATAAAACAGATCCATAATTAACACTACATTCAAATTACATAATAGAATACACAAAATATGTCCATTACATTCATTAAAATACTTCCCACAATATGTCCACTACATTCATTTACATGATAAAGTAAAAAAATACACAAAATACAATGGCATAAGTCATTGCCTTGAAAATCTTCTCCATCATTTTGAGCCTTCTATCATGCTCACCAAGCCTTCTCCTAGCTCATTAATTTCTTCAGTTCTTATATCTGTGGAGGTAATATCGTTGTCATCATCATCTGCGAAGCTGAAGTAATTGCAGTGTTCGTTCACACTTTACAATGCACAAGAATCGGTTAATCAAATCAGAAAATGAAATTTGTAAAAAGTGAAATATTAATTTATATAACAGAGACTTACATATTTGTCTGGGCAAACAAAAAACACACGTCCTTCATTTCCATTCTCATTGGTTTGTACAATGTGCATGGAAGCTGTTCTTCCACAATAACAGAATCTTGGCTTTACTCTTATTTTCCTATGATTAATAGAAGATGAAGCTATTTTTTTATCTGCATAAAAAATACCAATAGATTCAACTACCTCAATCTTGATAACAAAGCCATTTTAAATTCCTATGAATGTTGAATGCTTATGAATGTTGAATGCATAAATTCAATGTTGATAACAAAGTGAATGCATAAAATCAATGTTGACACTTAGAATGATCTTTCAAAGGTATCCATCTAAAACAGATGATAAGTCTCTTTGAATCTGTTACTTATGAATCTGTTTGGCTTCTGCTTGGCTTCTTCAAATATTTGTCACAGAGTTCAAGTATTTCTTCGTTTTAATAAATATTTATTGGCTCCCTAGGTTACTACTACTGCCTTTGAGGTCCAGAAGCTTCTGGTTTCTGGTAGAATAAGATAGGCTTTACACTGTGCACAAGAAGGTCAATTGTGGGGGCTAGCGCTTGTTCTTGCAGCTCAACTTGGTGATCAGGTTGTTTGTTTGTTTGTTTTTTTTTCTCTACCATTTGGTGTCCTCCAGACATATTTAGAGATGGATACTTAGAATGATATCCTCTGTAACCATTCTCATGAATCTATTACTTAGAATGATGTGTATTTCAAGCAATGCTAATCTCAAATTTAGCATTGCTAACAGATTCAATCAAATACTTAGAATGATATCCTTTGTAACCATTCTCATGAATCTGTTACTTAGAATGATGTGTATTTCAAGTAATGCTAATCTCAAATTTAGCATTGCTAACAGATTCAAGCAATGCTAACAGATTCAATGCTAATTTCAAGCAATGCTAACAGATTCAATAAAGCCAAATCCCAAACCCTAACACAAATTTCAATTGAATAATAGATTCTAATAGAGTGTGATACGAATCTGTATACTAGAATCTGTATAATAGAGTGTGATACGAATAATAGGTATACAGATTGAAATGAAAATCTGTATAATAGAATCTGTTTGCAAATCTATATACAGATTCAATTGAGTAACAGATTCTAATACCTTTCTGAACGAATAATACCTCTCTGAAGTAATGCTAACAGATTCAATTGAATCTGTATACAGAGAATAACAAATTGAAATGCAAATCTCAAATCCTAACACATCAGAAATTAAAGCCAAATCCCAAACCCTAACACAAATTTCAAGCAAACTCAAAACCCAAACACTCCCAATCGACTAATTTCTACAAAAAATAGAAGCCAAACATAAACCCTAACATGGCTCGATTTGGGGTTTACCTCTGTCGTCCTTCGTACTGCTTCAACAGACAGGTGAGAGAGACGAGACTGAAGAGATAGCAAGAGGTGAGACTGAAGAGATAGCAAGATGTGAGACTGAAGAGATAGAGAGGATGTGTAGTCGACATGAGAGGGATGAGTTCATAGAGGCGAGAGGAATGAGGCGTGGGTCAAGAAAAGGAAGAAGAAGAAAAAAATAACAAAATAAAAACCGAATCCCAAAAACGGCGTCGTTTTTGGGTTTCGAGCCAATTCGAGCCAACGGCTTTCGAGCCCTCAAACATTTTTGTTGTCTTTTTTAAGACATGCCAAACCATGCCTAAGTATCCACAAATTATTATTATTTATTTGTTATATCCCTACAAAGTTTGTTTGAATATAATGACTAAAATTTGGTTCCTTATATTAAGATTTTTATAATGATTTGGTTGTTGCTTTTTAGAAATTAGGAGTCAAAATATTGGGTATTTTGATTTGAAATGAAAATATCATAAGATGCCACATCATTTTATTAGAAAATTTTATACAAAAATTTTATTTCCATATCATTTACTTATTTTATTTTATTTAGGTATTTTTCCTTTAGTTTCGTCTCTTGGCCTAGTAAAAATATTTCAATTTTAGGACAAGTATAAGAGTCAAAATTATTTTTGGAGTCCCATTTTGAGAGCCCAAAGCGGTTGCTATGGATTAGGAATGGCAATTTGAATCCCTGATAAGTTTCAGGCCAAGGACGGGGATCACTTTCAGAGCCCCGGACCTGGTCCTTTCTTGTCCTCGTCCCCGGCCCCGGCCCTGACTCTCCCCGAAATAAAATTACCATAATACCCCTATATCTATTTATATACATAACCTCCCTATATTTATACCCTCTAATCTGTCTCTCTCTCACTCTCTCACTCTCTCTCTTCTCTCCGCAGTTGGCTTCTCCTCCTCTGTCGCCTCTCGTCGCCTTTTCCACCTCCAGGCCACCGTCACCTCCTCCTCCTCCGTCGCCTCTTGCGGCCTCCTTCTCTGTCGGCTCCTTGTTCACCAGGCCACCGCCAAACCTTCATACTCCGTCGCCTCTCGCCTTTTCCTCCTTCTGCCACGGCAGATCTGAAAAGATCCCGTCACCGCCACTGTCAATTTTCTTCCTCCTTCACCAGATCTATCTCTATTTCTTTTCTTATTTTGTTGATGATGTTGCCATTGATGATATTGTTATTGATGAAAATGAGGTTGTTGTTGATGATGATGTTGTGGATGATGATTTATTATTGAGAGAGAAAGCTAAACACACACAGAGAGAGAGATAGAGGGGAGAGAGTTTTACGGGGATTTTTTGGGGTCGGGGAAACCGATCCCTGTTAGGTAGAGATGGCAATCGGGACCCGGCCCGACAGGGACCCAATTTCCCGACCCCAAATTGAGCGGTTATTCCCCGAAAAATACCCCCGACGGGCTAGGGATGGTATTAAAAATTGAATCCCCGATGATATTCGGGCCGAGGATAGGGATACATGTTTCAGTCCAGGACCCAGCCGGACCCCAGCCCTGACCCCCACCACGCTTGCCTCTCCAGGTGAAATTACTATTTTGCCCTTATTTATATATATAATATATGCGTATTTGTAGGGTTTGGCTGAAGTTGAACACTCACTCACTCACACACAAACACAGTTGTATCGTCTCTCTCTCTCTCTCTCTCTCTCTACAGGTGCTCCTCACAGCATCGGCGGTGGCGGTGGCGATGCTCCTCTGCTATCCTCTCCCTCCTCCCATCTCGCCGATCTCTGATCTCACCAATGGTAGTAGCAGCAGCTCCTCCGACGTCCTCTCCTTTCTCCCATCTCGCCGATCTTCGATCTTGCTGATGGCGGTGGCGGCGGTTCTTCTGCCGTCCTTTCTCTCCTCCTACATCTCGCCGATGTCACTGCTCAAGAACATTACGGCGGCTCCCTCCTCTCAGATCTTGCCCATCTCTGATTTTTATTTTTTTTTTGTTAATCTATTGTGTTTACATGATTTGTATACATGATATGATGTATGATGTTGATCTGTTGTGTATACGTGATCTGCTCAAGTATACATGATCTGCATCGGTTGTTGATGTATCATGTATGATGTTGATTTGTTGATGATGTTGATCTCCCATTTTTTATTTATTTATTTATTTATTTTTTGGACTGGGGAATTTTTAGGGTTGGGGAAACCCGATACCCGTTAGGGGACGGGGCGCAGGGGCGGTGATACCTTCCCCGTCGGGGATCGGGGCCGGGGATGGGGAAATTTTTGCTGTCGGGGATCGAGGACAGGGAGTATGATCCCTGGCTCCGCCCCGCCCCGTTGCCATTTCTACTGTACACAAAACACTATTTTTGTCTTTTTATTTTTATTTTTTGTGTTTTTTTGAAGACAAAAACAATAGCACGCAATATATCTAATTTTGTTAAACCAAAAACAAAAGCCTTTTCCCCCAACTTAAATGACAATGGCCCCAATGACATATACCAAAAAAGACCGACAAGAACAATAAAAGGAAAGAGAATTAAAATACAATAAAATATACATCCTTGAAATGCAACTAAAGATGTCCTATAATAATAATAATAATAATAATAATAATAATAATCAAAAAAATAAAGAATAATTTTTTATATTCGCCAAAATAATTATTGGAAATAAAAAAAAGTAACCAAAAATATCTTTGTTAAATCTCTTTAAAATAAATAAATAATGGTCAATGTTAAATTATCTAAAAAGATTATCGATTCATCAATTACTTTGATTTCTCGATCAAATCAGAAAAAGAGTAACATCTTTCATTAGATACGAAAATGATCTCATTATTATATTTGCACCTCTTTTATTCTCTCAGTAAGAAGGAAAAAAAAAATCTTTTATCAAAATTATAGTACAAAGGGTCATAATATCTATAACATCTATAAAAGAATGAAAGGTGCTGAAATCTAACACAAAATGTCAAAATAATGAATCTAATACAAAACGCCAAAATAATGTCCAATTGCCCAAAATTGCCGTTCCCTTTTTTTTAGTTTAATTGTCTACGGTTTAAAAAATTTGTAATCAAATTAAATCATTAAAATTATTGAATCAATTTGACCCAGATCATTTAAACACAATTTGGCTCGATTTGAAATTACGGTTTTACATAATTTATTTCAAAAAAAAAAAAATTGTATAACATTATCAAAAAAATTTAACTTATCATCAATTTGAAAAGTAATAATAATATGCCAATCACATAAACTACTTTTGTAATATTCAACAATTAAGCAAAAACTTAATATTCAGCAAACATTGTTTAACATGAAAAAAAACTTAATATTTACCAAATAAACATACTATGATTTAAGTTAATAGTAATACTACGAATCCAGAAATTACCAAGAATTGTTATCTTATTATTCATATTTATTTTACATATGAACCCCACACTACACAAATTTAATCTCCACTACACAACTACCCATCCAGAAAAATCTAGGTTCCGAGACTTATTGTCAAATCTAATATTTGTTGGAATTGATCCTTTAGGTTCAAATAGATCATTATATCTTGTAATTTTTTTTTTGTCAATTGACCCATCTTTTTTATCCTTTTCCTTAGTGCTCAATAATGACCAAATAATTGAATCTCTTATAGCGGTGACTATCCAATTTCAATTTTTTATTTGTTTGGCCATTATTTTTTGATCATTAATCTTCTAAAAGTTAATTTTCCTAACTTTTGCTTTTATGAGTACTTCACCATGTATAAGATGATTTTTAATTATAATAATCCCCCAATTTTGCTCTTGCAATTTCACTCTCAATGATGTGGAATTAGGGATGCTAAATATAAGAGAGAGAAGGGTGTGGAATCGCTTCACATGGAGGGTGGGCCATGTCTTTGAGGGTGGAATTAGGAGGGCAAAATTAGAGAAATGTAACACCACTCATCCAATTATTTCATATTTTAGTCAATACCATCAAATTTATTGAGTATTTTATTAATACAAGAGATACGTGTCATTTTTTTTTAATTTGAAAAATTAAATATTATGTATATTTTGTGAAAAATTCAAAAATATTTAGTAGATTAATTGATTATTCCCGTAAAATAATTTTTTCACCATCTTGATAAAAGAAATTATGTATATATTTATAATGCTATGTGTGCTTTAATAAATATTTATTCCTTAGCTTTTGTACGATATAACAGTCATTTGTGTGTTCTTTGATAAATATTCATTCCTTAGCTTTTATAATATATGTAGATTTATTTAAGAAGTAGTAATAGTAAATTAAACTTGAGAATAGAATGATCATTTTATTTCAATTGTATTTTATTGAACCAAAAACTACTTAAGAGTTAGATCCCACTAAAATTTTATTCCTTAAGATATTTTTTTCACTTTGCCCTATCATAATATTTTCTTATTAGTTTTGTTCACTTCATTTTTTCAAACATGCGTTCATCTAATATTTGATTGCATCTTTCAAGTATGATGAAAATTATATGATTTTTCTTCATTTTCATACTTGCTTTTTAGTTGAAAATTAAAATGGTCCATATACTATGATATTCCAAAGTACAAATAATTATTATTATTACTGTTGAACATATTAGGATGTTCTCTAATTGAATTTTGAGGAGTTAAATTATTAGATGATATTTTTAAAAAAATTGTCTCAATATGACATTTTTAGTCATATGATATCGTTTACCTATATTTTTAGAAACTAAATTTTTAAAAGAAGATATATAAATAGATGAAATAAGAATACTAATATTCTATATATAAACTTAATTAATTGACAGATTCAATACTTTAAGCATCTTGATATTCACAATAATATCAACAACTGTATAACTAAGAATGCAACTGTGTGTTTTCACATATGAAACTAACTTAAAAAAACAAATAACAGTGCGACCCCCACGCATGGGGTCCGACTAGTATTGAAAAAAAAAAAAAAAATTATAAAGAGTCGTTCATAATTTATTGCCTTTGGCCTCAAATAGCACTACAAGAAAATGCACCTTTGGCGACTAAATTTTTAGTCGTCAAAAGTCTGTTTTTAGTCGCTGAAAGTCCAGTTTTTACTTTCAGCGACTAATTTTTTTAGTTGCCTGTTTTGTCGTGTATATATGGTCGCCGGAGGTATTGGCGACTAAAATTTTTTTAGTCAGCAAAAAATAGCTCTTTAGCGACCAACGATTTAGTCGCCAATAGCGATTTACACTTTTTAAAATCACACATTTAGCAACTAATCTTTTAGTCACCAATAGTCCATGAATCGCCAACTAAACCGTTTAGTCGCCCAAAATAAACACATTTAGCAACTTTTTTGCTTTTTCTGAGATTCGAACCGCCAACCTCTCCCACATTCTAAACCTTTAGCCACACTCTCTCCACTATGTCACTACAACACCACATAAATATATATGCAACATATATTATTTATATACTATATTGACCCGTATTAATATCTAGCTATATATATAAAAATAATTATTTTTATTCAATATAATTTATGTAAAAAATAAATTATTTACTACAAAAAAATTAGATCACTTTTGGCGACTAAATCTATTTTTTAGTCGCTAATTGTATAGTTTTGGCTACTAATTATATTTTAGTCGCTAAAAAAATTCATTCCCGCCGAAAAACCTCCACTTTTGGCGACTAAACTGAAATTTAGTCGCCAAAACCTCTACTTTGGGCGACTAAACTGCATTTTAGTCGGCAATTCTTGACTTTTAGCTACTAAATTTTTTTTAGTAGCCAAAAAGCTTCACTTTTGGCTACGAAATTGATTTTTGTCGGTAAAACACGTATAATTGGCGACCAAACTATTTTTTAGTCGCCAAAACCTATACTTTTGGCTATTAAATGTTTTCAGTCGCCAAAAACCTTCTCTTTTGGCTACTAAAATTTTTTTAGTTGCTAAAACCCCTATATTCGGCGACTAAACTGACTTTTAGTCGCTAAAACCCCTACATTTGGCTACTAAACTACTTTAGTTGCCAAAAGTGTTCACTTTTGGCGACTAATTCCATTTTAGTCGCCAATTCTGTTACTTTCAGCGACGGAAAATCTATTTTTAGTCGCGAAATCTGCTTTTTCTTGTAGTGTAGGCTTGCATCATCTTTTGTCTATGGGAGTTCTTTTTTTTATTTATTTTTGGTAAAAAGAATGGTGAAGCAGATAGGTTATTTTTTTTATTTTTTATTTTTTGATACCCAGAACACTCCCAAGACAGGACCCTTAAGATCCACCCTTACAAGCCAAACTGGAGAAAGCTAGCCGATCCACTTAAACCGTCAGACTTTCACCTGAATAGTAGGGGAAGCTAGGTTATTTCAATCTCACTGTCAGGACACATTGTCCCATAGCACCCACAGACATCTAGTAGGGCGGTGGTAGCCACTAAGTGTGCCCATGGTCTTACATGCCGAGAGTACTATGAAATAGAAATGACACTAACAAGTGACTATGGAGAGTCAAACCCAAGTATTAAGTAAGGAAGTGTGAAACGAGATGAGTTAGGCATTTTTAGTGGTTTTGCCATTTTGGCTCGTTATGCTATAATTTGATAAATTTGCTACAGTGGTATAATATTTTTTATTTTTATTTTTTTTTCTCACAATACCAAATAAGAATGTGATTTGTGAGCCTATCATGAAAAATGGAGAAAAAGAGCTTTGTCAAATCTTGACAAGTGTGAAATTTTGGGTCAAATTTATTATAAAATTTAACAATGTTAAAATTTAGCATAAGTTTTGGCACACTATCTAACTTTTTGAAAGATATTATTGTAAAATAGATGGCAGTGGGATGGGTTTACAGTGACCCATTCCTGTCTCGTATCCTATCGAGGGTGGCGCAAGTTAATTTTGTAACTTTAAGAATGAGAATAATAATAAAAATTATAGATAATATGATATATTATGGTTAATAATTTATAATTTTTAAGAATTAAAAGATATAAGAAGAAAAATATGTTAAGTGTAAATTTTTGTTTCGTAATTTTATTATAATGAAAAAAATAAATAAATTATATGATATACATATAAATATATTTATTAGAAATATAATAAGAATGGGGCTCAAGTAGAACGAGACGACGGAGTAAAATTCATCCTAATCCCATTTTTTCATTAGGGCGAAAAAAGCATGTAGAGCGAGAAAAAATTACCATTCATCATTTTAATTTGACTTTAACAATCTATATAATAAAACAAAACTGTTTTTAAAAATGTATCAAAATGTATCAGAGATACATTTTGATTTAATGGCTGAGATGATTCCTATATACTATCTAACGGTGGAGATCACCTTTATTCCCGCCCAAAAACTCTTTGCTCTCTTTCTCTCTCCCACGTCTGCCCAAACACGTTCCCTTCAACTTCCTCTCTACACGTTATCTCTCACATTCTCTCTTCAACTCCCTCTATGATCTCTCTCTCATGTTCGAAATTCTTTCTTTTCTGAAACTGGCTAACAGAGGTAGCAGATCAGAGAAACATCTTCCAACAATTTGATTCAAACAGAGACGGTGGTCTCAACAGGGCTCACCACCACCGCCGCTGCTCATCATCACCGTCGCCATTGATTGACACCCACTCTCTCTCGGCTCCCACCCTCCCAACATCAGAGGTATTTTACATTTATTCAGTTCTTTGAGGCTTCGATTTTAAGGCTAATTTTTGTATCAATAAGAGTTGATGGCTTCGGTTTTAGGGCTAATTTCTGTATCAATCAGAGTTGAGGCTTCGGTTTTAGAGATTACAACAGAGTTGCAATCTAGGGTTCGCTGACTTCTTTTTATTTTTTTTTCCAAGTATATTAGTTAGATATGAGAAGCAGAATGGCAATGGGGGTGAAGAAAAGTGCTGATATGTTGGCTTATGCTACCATGGCCACAACATGTTTGATAGTTTGCCTATGAGAGACTTCTAAGTTGCTTCTTCTCAGTTGTCAAAATAGCACACACACTTGGTTGTTGATTTAGATTCCCCCCTCCCCTCCCCTCCCCTAATTCACAAAGGAATGTTAATTTGAGTTGATAAAAAACTGTAATTAACTTTGTAATCCTAAGCAAACTGTAATTAACTTTGTAATCTTAAACGCACCAGCAAATGGATTCTTTGTAATCCTAAAGAAAGTGTATGGGTTGATGGCTTTTGATTTCTGAAATTTGAAATGGATTTGATTGGTATCATAGGTTGTAGTGGTTGTATTATTGCTCATGCGTTACTTCAATTAATTGGTTATGTTGATTTAGGAATTTTAATGCTCTTTTTTTTGTTATGTTGCAGATGAACATGATTAAGGTTTCTAATATAATGGGCATTGACCCAAAGCCATTTGATCCCAAGACATATGTAGAAGAAGACATCTTTGTGGCCAATGAATCTGGATCTAAGAAACGTATTCGTCTGGACAACAACATTGTCCGTTGGAGGATTGTACGAAATCCAGATGGCACAGAATCTGTAAGTGAATAAATGGAAGCATATTTTTAGTTCATATCATATGCCATACTATTGTGAATTTTACTTTCTGGGCTTCATGAACAATATCTTGATATTTTTGTTTGTAAATGTTATAAATTTTATATAATTGTTGCATTAAGATTTTCTAAACACGGTGAGGAATATAATTTATTGCACTTGCTTTAGTTGGAGTGGGTTAGACGTTTGGTTGTATTTGTTGTGTTCAACTCTCTTATCTTCTGACATTTTTTATTCGATAAAAATATATTGTTCAACTTTTTTTTTGAGAAGTAAGAGATGAGACTACAATGACATGAAAGGGGTGCTACCCAAGTACAAGAATGGAAAAAAACAAAGAAAGCAACTAAACAAATGGGCTCTGCTCAAAAGAATCTACAAATCTTAAAATTTGGTTTAAGGATGGATCAATTCAACCTGAAATCCCAAGAAAAAACAGGAGATAAAAATTCTACTCTGCGCTACTCCAAACACACCAAGAATCAAAGACTAAGCATTGGTTATTGGCGCTACACCAAATTCATAGCTGTTTTCTCTGGTACCTAAGCTAAAATATGGAAATTAAAAATGCTAAAGTAGGATATGAATTTACACTTTTTTGAGATAAAGTAAGGATTAAAAGTAAAAGGTGCGAAAAGAAGGAATAAGATTTAATACTTTTATAGAAATGCCCAGTTTTGGTTTCTTATTTGGCATTTGGCTTCAACAAAGTTTTTCTGTGCAAAACCTTTTAATGCTGGAATTGATCCAACACTTGTGCAGTCATGCAGGAAGAACACATTTTCTTTTGTATTTAAGAATTTGTTATATGCTTTATTGGAAATGATTGTGACATTTTCTTTTCATGTGCAGTATGAAAGCAATGCACGCTTTGTGAGATGGTCAGATGGCAGCTTACAGTTATTGATTGGGAATGAAGTTCTCGACTTATCTGTGCAAGATGCGCAACATGATCAAGTACACTTATTTCTGAGGCACGGAAAGGTGACCATATATGCCTTTGCCATGTCTAATTCAGAATTATATTTGTGTATATATTCTTTAAAGCAATTGTGAACAGTTGAGGTTTGTTGTTAAGTCCTGCTGTGAAAATGAATGGACCTTGTGTGTTTTAGAACCATCAATGCATGATCATGATGTTATGGCGAGGTTAGCACAGTTTTTTGACTGCCCATAGGTGTTTCATTAAGGATCAAATAATGCCAAAAACATTAAGAGTTTCAATACACATCTCACATATTCTTATACCCTAATATTTTTCTATACACTTTTCACATATTTCACTAGACTTTTTACACATACCAACACTAACCACTGCCCAATGAGCGGTCGTTTGTATTTCCTTTGATGAATTCATTAACACAGATAGCTCATCACATAAATGTCATGACAAAATCACTTTTGTAATTCATTTATGTAGCACGCACATAAAATAGATGTGTATTTCTACTGCTGTGTCCTTGATGTCCATATCCTATATTTTTAGAATTTGACACATCAATGAATGTCATATCTATATCCTGTATTTCTGTCTTTGCTTCATCAAATCTGTTGCAAAACTTGAATTGGGAGTTTGTTCTGATTCCAATAGGAATGGAGTCTAGGACACTGAATTTTGCTCAGTAACACCAAATTTGTACTACTGTTTGGATTTTGATTTCAAAGCTTTGACATTATCAATTTCATGAAGTTTCGGTGTTTCTGATCCAAAGTACAAATAATTATTATTATTACGTTGAACATATTAGGATGTTCTTTAATTGAATTTTGAGGAGTTAAATTATTAGATGATATTTTTAAAAAAATTGTCTCAATATGACATTTTTAGTCATATGATATCGTTTACCTATATTTTAAAAAACTAAATTTTTAAAAGAAGATATATAAATAGATCAAATAAGAATACTAATATTCTATATATAAACTTAATTAATTGACAGATTCAATGCTTTAAGCATCTTGATATTCAGAATAATATCAACAACTGTATAACTAAGAATGCAACTGTGTGTTTTCACATATGAAACTAACTTAAAAAAACAAATAACAGTGCGACCCCACGCATGGGGTCCGACTAGTATTGAAAAAAAAAAAAATTATAAAGAGTCGTTGATAATTTATTGCCTTTGGCCTCAAATAGCACTACAAGAAAAAGCACATTTGGCGACTAAATTTTTAGTCGTTAAAAGTCTGTTTTTAGTCGCTGAAAGTCGAGTTTTTACTTTCAGCGACTAATTTTTTTAGTTACCCGTTTTGTCGTGTATATATGGTCGCCGGAGGTATCGGCGACTAAAATTTTTTTAGTCGGCAAAAAATAGCTCGTTAGCGACCAACGATTTAGTCGCCAATAGCGATTTACACTTTTTAAAATCACACATTTAGCAACTAATCTTTTAGTCGCCAATAGTCCATGAATCGCCGACTAAACCGTTTAGTCGCCCAAAATAAACACATTTAGCAACTTTTTTGCTTTTTCTGAGATTCGAACCGCCAACCTCTCCCACATTCTAAACCTTTAGCCACACACTCTCTCCACTATGTACTACAACACCACATACATATATATGCAACATATATTATTTATATACTATATTGACCCGTATTAATATCTAGCTATATATATAAAAATAATTATTTTTATTCAATATAATTTATGTAAAAAATAAATTATTTACTACAAAAAAATTAGATCACTTTTGGCGACTAAATCTATTTTTTAGTCGCTAATTGTATAGTTTTGGCTACTAATTATATTTTAGTCGCTAAAAAAATTCATTCCCGCCGAAAAACCTCCACTTTTGGCGACTAAACTGAAATTTAGTCGCCAAAGCCTCTACTTTTGGCGACTAAACTGCATTTTAGTCGGCAATTCTTGACTTTTAGCTACTAAATTTTTTTAAGTAGCCAAAAAGCTGCACTTTTGGCTACGAAATTGATTTTTGTCGGTAAAACACGTATAATCGGCGACCAAACAATTTTTTAGTCACTAAAACCTACACTTTTGGCTACTAAATGTTTTTAGTCGCCAAAAACCTTCTCTTTTGGCTACTAAAATTATTTTAGTCGCTAAAACCCCTATATTCGGCAACTAAACTGAGTTTTAGTCACTAAAACCCCTACATTTGGCTACTAAACTATTTTAGTCTCCAAAAGTGTTCACTTTTGGCGACTAATTCCATTTTAGTCGCCAATTCTGCTACTTTCAATGACGAAAAATCCATTTTTAGTCGCGAAATCTGCTTTTTCTTATAGTGATCTCCTCGCCTTGTTTCTTTGAGATTAAGTATAGAGCTTGTCAAGGGTTTCGTTTTGATCGGGGCAAATCATTGTTTCGTCGCTGTTGACTTTTGGGCTTTTCTCCCTTCTCTCTCTTCTAAGCTTGAGGTAGGGATCTTTTCTATACTTTCATATAATATTTAGCTTAGTTATTTGTATCTTGTGTAACAATGATATGATTTGGGAGTGTTTAAGGCAAACCTAGGGATTGGGCATAAAATGGAAAGAGGGATTTTTGGATGAAGATGAAATAAATGCTTGAGGGGTTTGAAAATGATGTTGTATTGTGTATAATTTGATGATTTTGGCACTTGGCTAATATTTGGAAAAAATGGGAGGGGGGGATTTGCCCTAATTGAATCAAATTATTATTTTGTATAAATAATGGAAATTGACATTGAAAATGTGAAATTGAAGGGGTATTGATACGAATGGTGGGATTGGTTATGTGTTATTCCATTATTTGGTAGTTTCGAATAAACTATCTATTATGAGATTTTATATCTGTTTAGAAATAACTGTGTTGGGCTATCGGTGGAGGATAGCTATGATTGTTGTACCCGTTGGTACAGGGAATTCTTTTTCGTTACAGAGATTACCATGCATCTTGACAACCAAAAGGATGGCTTGGAGTGGCATAGGATCCTCTATCCATAAAGTTTCTAAGTCATGTTTTTATATACTTTCTTAGTCACACGAACACATGTCGAATTTTTCGTATTTTGAAAATCCCACCATAGTGTGGCGTTGAGAGAACATCGAAGACACAAGAACAAGAGAGTTGGGAATAGCGTAAACCTTTGTAATGGAAATACTAAAGAGTAATGTTACAGATTTTAAAAAGTTTTATTAAAATTTTTATCAAATACCTCACATGAGTGGGTCACTTGTGAGTCTCACTCTCATGTGAGACATTTGGTAGAAATTTGGATAAATTTTTTAAAATTTCTAACATTTTTGAATACTAAAAGAGATGAGTTAGGCATTTTTAGTGGTTTTGCCATTTTGGCTCGTTATGCTATAATTTGATAAATTTGCTACAGTGGTATAATATTTTTTATTTTTATTTTTTTTTCTCACAATACCAAATAAGAATGTGATTTGTGAGCCTATCATGAAGAATGGAGAAAAAGAGCTTTGTCAAATCTTGACAAGTGTGAAATTTTGGGTCAAATTTATTATAAAATTTAACAATCTTAAAATTTAGCATAAGTTTTGGCACGCTATTTAACTTTTTGAAAGATATTATTGTAAAATAGATGGCAGTGGGACGGGTTTACAGTGACCCATTCCTGTCTCGTGTTCTATCGAGGGTGGCACAACTTAATTTTGTAACTTTAAGAATGAGAATAATAATAAAAATTATAGATAATATGATATATTATGGTTAATAATTTATAATTTTTAAGAATTAAAAGATATAAGATGAAAAATATGTTAAGTGTAAATTTTTGTTTCGTAATTTTATTATAATGAAAAAAATAAATAAATTATATGATATACATATAAATATATTTATTAGAAATATAATAAGAATGGGGCTCAAGTAGAACGAGACGAGGGAGTAAAATTCATCATTTTTTCATCAGGGCGAAAAAAGCATGCAGAGCGAGAAAAAATTACCATTCATCATTTTAATTTGACTTTAACAATCTATATAATAAAACAAAACTGTTTTTAAAAATGTATCAAAATGTATCAGAGATACATTTTGATTTAATGGCTGAGATGATTCCTATATACTATCTAACGGTGGAGATCACCTTTATTCCCGCCCAAAAACTCTTTGCTCTCTTTCTCTCTCCCACGTCTGCCCAAACACGTTCCCTTCAACTTCCTCTCTACACGTTATCTCTCACATTCTCTCTTCAACTCCCTCTATGATCTCTCTCTCATGTTCGAAATTCTTTCTTTTCTGAAACTGGCTAACAGAGGTAGCAGATCAGAGAAACATCTTCCAACAATTTGATTCAAACAGAGATGGTGGTCTCAACAGGGCTCACCACCACCGCCGCTGCTCATCATCACCGTCGCCATTGATTGACACCCACTCTCTCTCGGCTCCCACCCTCCCAACATCAGAGGTATTTTACATTTATTCAGTTCTTTGAGGCTTCGATTTTAGGGCTAATTTTTGTATCAATCAGAGTTGAGGCTTCGGTTTTAGGCTTCGGTTTCGGTTTTAGAGATTACAACAGAGTTGAAATCTAGGGTTCGCTGATTCCAAACAAATACTATCAAACACATACACGATTTCTTTTTGAAGCATTAAAAAAAAATGGCTTCACAATTTGTCCATCATCACAATTCCTCTACAACATAAATAAATCATTTTAGATCTAAAGTGGTAGCTTAGTATATAAAAACACATTTAGCAACGTCGAATTTCAATTTGGAGTCAGTTTTAATGGAAACTTCCTTAGTGGCAGGCTGATAAGAGGGTGGAATGAGGGGAGGACCAAAGTGGTGCTGCTGAGCAAGGGTAGGCCATTGCTGGAGCTGTTTCGATGCGATGACATAGTCACACAAGAAGGCGACTGGTGGTTCTTTCAGCCCCAAATTGAGATGTTGGAGCACAAGATTTCACTGCCTGTTGGCTCCTGCAATTTGGCTCTCCCACTCTGGGGAAAAGGTATGCTTCCTAATTATATTCTCTCACTCCCTCCTAACAAACAGACATGATTTTTTTATTCTATTACCATTCAAACTCATAGCATAAGCTATCTCCTTGAAGAGTTTGTAACAATTTAATTGATCAATGGTTTAATTCTTTAAAGTTAATTTTTCTTTTAGAT